TCTCAAATTAGAATTATCATGTCACATTATTTTATTGGTCACAGATCCAAAAATTACGGTGCAGAGTTATCTATCAGTCATATATTTTCAAATTTATTGGTCACAGATTAATTTTTAGTCACAATTTTAAGGTCACATTTAGATTTTTTTTTTTTGACCACCCCTAAGACCACCGGCGACTTCTGTGACCAGCCCTGTGACCATCACCGCCTTTAACGCCAGAACCAACAACACCACCCCAGTGACCACCACCGACTTCCGTGACCACCCCTATGACCATCACTGACTTCTGAAACCACCCCGTGACCACCACCTCACCACTGTCACCTGCCGCATCATTGCTGCTGCCAACACCACCATCGCCAAACAACCACACAAATCATCCACCGCAAAATCACCTCACCTCGCCAATATCCACTATCAACATCACCAAATCCACCCGCACCACCACCAACACCCAAAACTAGCTCCACCACCAACCACAAAACCACAGATCCACAATCACCAACCACAAAATTACAGATCAATAATCAGTGTAAAACCCCAAACCAAAACCGCCTCCACCATCACTAACTAACAATCACCGGGACAAAGAAAGACGGGATAGCAGCGAGGGAGAGGCATCGCTGTGAACGCCGCTTCATTTTCAGATCCACCGTCCATCGTCCCCAAAAACCCAGCGCTCATTGCTTCTGTGATGACGTCGTCGGTGGAGAGATAGTGAGGCTTCGCGATGGGGTATCACGACGGGGCAGAGAGAAAGAGAGAGAGTTGAGGCTTTGCAGAGAGAGGTGCCGATGGTGCGGTGCCGATGAAGAGGTGGTGTAGGGAGAGAGAGTGAAGTCGACGGTCGATTTGCATAGAGAGACGATAGCTATGAAGAGAGAGAGGGAGATGATAGATTGAATAAATTAGGGTTTGTTAATTGTAATGTGTGTATATTTTAATTAAATATAATAATACTAATTAAAATAAAATATCTGATTCTGAAAATGTGAAACTTCCATCCCGATTCTGGAAATGTGAATACATAAACTATGATTTTGTGTAATTTCCACTTTATTATTTGTTCTATTTGTTATCAATTTCTCTGACCCGTAAGCATGCCGCCCAACATCTCTAAGGATCAAGCCCAGCCCAACTCACTTGCCTAGATGCATGGCCCATAGTATACTGGCCGTTCATCTTCTTCTTCTTGTTCTTCGGTTCAGCTTCTCTCTCTGCAGTCTGCACTACACAGCGATACTCTCAATTTTCTGCAATTAATCGAAAACTTCATCAAACAAATATGAATCCACTTATTCGCTTCGTATTTGCTTCATGATC